GTGGAAAACGAATAGCAGATTTAGAGAGGATTTAAAGCTTTCGGTTTCTTCACATAGGAAAAAAAAGAGCAGAGCCACATCTGGTTGCATCTCTTCATAATGCATCATTGTAAAGGAGTATTAGTCACTTCTCCAACCTCCCTGAGAGTGAGAGGGAAAGAAATGGACCTAAATTTCAGGATGAGGGACATAATGCAGAATTAGGACAGCTGCAGCTACATGGGAATGCAGTGCTCCAACAGACTTTCTGAGGCTACTGCAAAGGTGAGAAGAATCTCATAAGGCAGGACTGGTACCAGCTGCGCTTTGTCCCAAACCTTAAAACAAAAGAAGTGGATGAATTTTTCTTCATGTTTTTTTTTTTTTTTTTTGTTTGTTTGTTTGTTTTTCCTGTGAAAATAGGAGTGAAATTTATTAGCCAGCTTATCTGATTTATACTGTTTGCAAATCTCAGTTTTACCATTTTTGGCTATTTTTGTTCATTTGGAAACTCTTCTTTTACAGCCTCAAATTAGGATCGAAAGATCAAACCACAGAGTATTTTTGGGCCTTTTTCTCTGCTGAGAAGGAGTCTACAATGCACGTGTTATCTAAAGCACCATTAAAAAAAAAATGCTTCCAGTATGCTAATTGCTAATATTATTTCAAAAGATAATTCTATGTACTAGCATAATTAACCCCTGAGGTACACATACAAATGTGCCATATTTATATACCACTTATTGAAGTGCTTGCCAGTTTAAAAGATGCCTAAAATAACACAGCATATTTTATTTAGAAATAATATAAATGTCAAAATTCAATAAAGGTGTATTTTTGTTGCAAAGTCTTTGTTGTGGTTCTTATTTTCATTTCTGTAAATGTGTCTCCTTGTACTTCAAGCAGCTGAGTCTGGATGTCAGCCCCATTGGAAAGGATTGCTCCCACACTCTTCGCCTTGGTCACGTTTTGCTGTCATGCAGATGCTTATGTTCTGTGAAGTACTCATAGAATTATTCAGCACCTACAGGCTCTTCCCTGCCATGAGATGCTCATAGCCCTGCAGGCCTGGAAGTGCCAGCTGGCGAGGGCAGACAGAGCTATGAGCTCTACCTAGCAAACTTCGACGAACCACTACTATCTTCTACACTTTACGCTGTTCTCGTTTTGACCCTGTGTTGCTTCAACAGACTGGGTCTTGTCTGAGCCTGAATCTTAAATAATTTTCTTTCAAAACGGATTGTGAAAGTCCAAGGACGCTGTTTGTCTGTGCCTGTGTGAGTCACTGGCTTCTCCCTGCTCCCTCGATCCTTTGAACTTATACATCAGCCTACAGGTACAAGCACACCAGGGACTTCTGCATCACAGCCTGGTGTGTGGGAGCACTTCACCTCCTCACACACTGCTACATGTTGAGGTTAGGATTAATAATTGTAAGGAGATGTTCTGCTGCTTCCATTAAAATTAAAATGATGAACTAATTTATAAAATCATCAATTAAAACGTTTACATTAAAGTCAGTTTAAATGGAATAGTCCTAAGGGTACTCAGCCTCTTGTACTACAGGACCTGCATTTAAGCTGCTTAACTGCAGAACTGTGGAAATGGAAATGAAAAAATAGAATCATAGAAAAGTTTGGTACATTTTAGCCCTAAATTAATCCAGGTAGCAGATCAAGGCCCAGGGTAGAAGGAACAGAAGAAAACTATTAGAACTGTAGGAAAGACAAAGGAAGGACCCCCTTCTTTACCTCTGGTTTGGTGAGTTTCTTCATCTGTACATATTTTACAAACACATCCCTATCTGTTCAAATGGCTTCTGTCTGTGAATGAAAAAGGAGACTGTGTCAGCAATTACAGCCTAGGGAGTCTGCTCCTCAGAGACTAATGGGAAAAGAATTCAGAGAAAAATCCTTGAAGGGGAGATTACAAAGAGCAAAAGTTGTCATGAAAAAATTGATTGCTTTTTCAACAGCACTATAAAATTAATGTATGCTGCTTATTCAATAGTGTAATATATTTAGCTCAGATTTGGATGCCTTTACTCTGCCTTTAGTCATTCTTTTCCTGGTAAACTACAAATTCCCATCAGGATACCAATAACTGCATATGTTAGTGAAAGCTTGTATTTTCCTTTTCTTTCTCTTATCTTCTTTCGCAGGCTAACATACACAGTATTCATCACATCCTCTGGTTGCTTCTGGTATTTCTATTGTTGCCACATGCTACAGTCCAATCTGGCAAACTAACAAAACAAAAACATTAAGGTTGGTTCAAATGATCAGAAGTGAAATTTGGCAATCACAAAGTGTATATCTGGGTGATATATACAGGCTATGAATAGAAGGTTCATAGTTCACTGTGTGAGAAAGAATGATTTGCTGCATCAGACTACGTGCAGCCCTTGCCTGCAGGCTTCAGCTGTCTGGGATCCTAAGCCTGGTTTGTTCTGGCACACTTCTGTGGTCTTGACTCAGTTTTAATGAGAAATATGCTTAAAGATCAGAAAGTTCACCAGCTGAAGCTATGCAAAATGAGTAAAATCACAGAAAGCAGAGTATGGTTGAAAAGGTAATAGAAGCACCTCAAGGATTGAGAAGTAAAAACTCCATGCCTTGAGGGATAAAAAAAACACCCTTAAAAGCAGAGAATCAGAAAGTGGTAACTCAGCAACACAGAGGATCAGCCTGTTCTGAGAACCAGGATGCACAATTCCCGCTTAACTGATGCTTGCATGCCCAGCATGTTCACCAGCATCTTATCAGGGTTGGTGAGCATATTAATAGTATCTCATTAGTTGTAGTTCTCATTAGCCAAGGCATAACTGCTTCATAAGAAACTTATTCTATATCATTCTTGCAATCACTTTGTACATCTTAAAAGGTGTCTGATCAAAAATGATCTGGTGACTATGCAAGACTGCTGTCATTGATTCAAGGAGTGCCATCTAGCAATATACAGGGTGTCCTTGCACTGGGTCAAGGCAACATCCATTACCAATACAAGCTGAGGGATGAAAGCATTGAGTGCAGCCCTGACGAAAAAGATCTAGGGATACTGGTGGATGGGAAGCTGGACATGAGCCAGCAATGTGCTCTCGCTGTTCAGAAGGCCAACCATATCCCAAGCTGCATCAAAAGCAGTGTGACCAGCAGTTCAAGGGAAGCACTGCACTGGTGAGACCTCATCTGGAGTACTGCATCCAGATGTGGAGTCCTCAGTACAGGAGAGACATGGACCTGCTGGAGTGCATCCAGAGCCACAAAAATGATCAAAGAGATGGAATGCCTCTCCTATGGGGACAGGCTGGGAGAGCTGGGGCTGGTCAGAGAAGGAAGGCTCTTGGAGAAGGGAAGGCTCTGAGGTGACCTTTCAGTATCTGAAGGCAAGCTACAGGAAAGAAGGGGACTGACTCTTGCACAGTGTCTGTGGTAATAGAACAAGGGGAAATGATTTCAAGCATAAAGAGGGTAGATTTAGGTTAGATCCAGAGACGTGGTTGATGCCCCACTCCTGGAGACCTTCAAGGCAAGGTTGGATCAGGCCCTGGGCAACTTGACCTAGCTGTAGATGTCCCTGTTCACTGCAGGGGATTTGGACGAGATGATCTTTAAAGGTCCCTTCTAACTCTAAGGATTCTATGATTCTGTGATTCTACTTCTACACCAGTCATTCACCACAAAGCAATGGCATGGAGTACCTTAAACATGAACAGAAGAGAGTGCTCTGGGCTGGCTCCTTTGGAAGAGGTCTGGTGACTCTCACATTGCAATGATATCAAACTTAACACTTGCATGTATCCCAAACACCTCTGAGCCTGCTTGGATGCAAGAAACATGGATGATTTGTTCAGTCTGGGAAAACCACCTGTACTTCTGCCTTTGTAATCTGCTTCTCTGAAAGGGTGGTCATGCACTGGAACAGGCTGTCCAAGGAGGTGGTGGAGTTACTGTCCCTGGAATTGTTCCACAAACGTGTAGATGTGGGACATGGGGATGTGGCTTAGTGAGCAATATTGGTGGTTGGTGTTCAGTTGGACTAGATGATGTTGGAGGTCTTTTCCAACCTCAATGATTCTATAATTCTACAGTCACAGAAGATTTAGGCTTAAGGTACCAGCAGTCACTGGCAGGATCAGAAATGGCCTCATATTTGAAATGAACATGAGTGAGTATACATCTGCCATGCAATAGTGACACAACATCCTTTGAGAATCCATACTCCCTGTGAAAGATGTTACTTTCCCCTTCTCTATCATCTCTAACCAGCTGGTGAAAACTCAAACTGGGACTGGCAAACTCACTGCAGGCATCACCTCTCTGAGCTATGTGCACACTCTCATCTGTCCACAACACTCTCAATAAAAGCATAACCAAGGTGGCATGTGACCCATCAAATGGTGGGACCAAGATTTCCATCCTCAGCTGTGTTTTTTGAGAGATTCATATACAAACACAAGCCTGCTTTTTTACATAACATAAGGACTGCTTTTCCCACACTTGCCAAACCCTAGAGAAGCACTGTTGAGGAAGGCACTGACACTGTACTGGTTCGTGCACGTTCAGTTCGGTCCATTCTTCACATGTATTTACTTGACTGAATCCAGAGTGGGCTAACTATGGCCTTGGGAGCATGGCCAACAATGAGCATGAGATGGCATCATTTGGGGCTGGGAGGTTGGCTGTGGGGTGCAGCTGAGGTGGGAAGCATGCATAATGAATTGCTGTAGTGGTGTAAAGGGCAAGCCCAAACAATGCCTCGAGAGACAGTTGTCAAAGAAGGATCTCTTAATTTTATGTCTCAGCCCCTCCTGGAAGAGTACAGAACAATGTCCAAGAAATGGCCAGGTCACAGGAGGGGGCCTGCTGTCACCTTTGTTTTGGCTTGTGTCTGGTGTCTCAACCAATCCTCGAATTGGAGCCAACAACTATAGGGGCTAGAGAGGAACGTCCCTTCAATTTTTTTCTTTGATACTATAAATAGGGGATAGGAGATGCCAGCCTGGCCCTTTTTCTCCTCTGCTGCTAGCCCAGCTTCTCACTGCTGCTGCTTCCCTTCTTCGCTCTATGCGATGTGAAGTTCTCCATCGGCAGGCTTGGCGCTTGATCCAGGACTGGTGATCTCTTTCCTCCTTTTTATCTCTTTTTTCCCTCTCTTTCTGTTAAAGTTGTTATGTAATGTAAGGCTTACTTGAACTTCCTACAAAACTCCACAGCTTAGGCAGATATAGTTGTGAGGGGGTTGATGCATATAGGATAACTGTTTTATAGAATTCTGCTATAAAGTTTTTTTTCCTCTTATGTACAGATCTTGAGTATTTTTTCACTTTAATCTAACTAGGGTATTTGTGAACCCTAGGGAACCTCTCCCTTCCCTCATGGGCACAACGTGACAGGTGCAATGAGAGACAAGGCTATGAGGCTGTAGTATCCACTTGGTACCTTCTAAATAGTCTTTCACCTGTGGACCTTGACTCTTCTTGAGCATTTGCATGTGTGTGAAGAACCAGTTTTCTTTGGCATGGGCGATTGGGGTCAGTTTCTCTTTCTCTAGCTTTGACTTTAACACACTGGTCCCAGAGTTTGCACGTAGGAAAGTGCCCTGTGGGAGGACTCTACTGATACTATTTGTCATCTCAGTGACCTCAATTCTGAGTTGCTTGTAACCATCCAGGTATCATGGTGAGAACTGAGATAGGTAGCCCTGAAAGGTTTTAATTAAAAGTGGCACTGCTTGGTACTGTGATAACAACTCAAAGCAGTGAGGTGCCAGGCAGTTGCTAAATGGGGTACCTAGTGAGAAAAACATTTTAATGCAGCTTTTCTCTGCTTTAACACTATGTAGGTACATACTATTTGGAAGGGTTAATCCTATTCATCCACCAGTACATGGGAGAAAGAAAACTGTGAGATAATACGTCTGGTGACATGGTTGGCTTAAAAATTTTTTCCTCGTTGCAGCCATTAATACTAAGAAGTAGTAAATGTAATCTATAGCAGCTAGTATATACATCAATGCTGCGTTTTGTGCAAGGTGTCACTAGCTAAGTTGCCTTTGAGTTCAAAGAAAGAGATGGTCTATATCTCTGCAGAATTTGAACTCACGATAAGCAATTGCACGTTCTCTTCGATACAGTGAGCTGTGTCTACTGGCAAATGAGATAGCTGAGGATTGGTGCCCTGGCTGAGAGTCAGGCAAAGGAAAGGCAGCATAGTTCTCTGGTGGGGTGTGCTAAGTGATCTGAGCTGGGATTGACCCTCAGTACCCAGAATCTGCCTGTCCACTGCTTTCACCACTGCTCTAAAAGTGATTAGGAATGGGATTTTAAGGTGTCCAGTGGGCTCATTCAAATAGAACAGAGAGAATTTTAAAAGAAGGATGTGGAAGAGATTCCTGGACACTTTAAACTGCCTTTCATTTTGGTGCTTTGCCAAGTGTACAGTGACATTAATAACTTCTGGATTCCTGACAAGTGTGTGGTGTGTATTTTTTAACTCAAGGCTAGACAGTGGGGAGTGCTGAGAGAGATACGACTCAGATATTTTTGTACCTAACTGTGAGGACAAGAATTACAGCTATGATCCTAATTGAAGAGCTTGGCAGAGCTGGTGTGCTTGGAATAGGTTAATCTTCAATAGAGAATGAGGATTACATTTAACTGTTCCTAAATAGTTACAGATAAGTCAGCATGTGATCTCCTACTGTTTACAGAGAGCTACTTTTCTTACAAACGAAACTACTGAAATTGAAATATTTGCTGAACCAAAACAGATTTTTTTCAAAAGGCTTGAACAGATGCCAAGGGATGGACATACGGTAGCCTTCTTTGTTTCCTCTGCTTAACCAGAGTAAGGACATACACTTGTAAAATTATTTCCAAAGATCTGTTATAGCAAAGATTTTCATTTTGCTAGTGGCAGTGCAAATCAAAAGAATCATTTGCTTAGAACCACACAGAAGAAAGAAGGCATGTAGACATAAGGAAAAGGATTATCAGTTCTAGTAAGTGATTTATTTGAATTTCCATGAGCACACGTGGATGAACTTTCCTTATCTTTTATATGATGCATTATAATACTCAGTGACAGACTTAACTTTGCCCAGATTTTTGCCTCCTAAGCAAAACTAAGTTAAAAAGCACACAACAACTCCGAAGGTTACGATTTATGTGATGTACAATTTCTGCATGCTGCTGATCTCGCCTTTTCTATTGACTTCCATTCAGAAAATTGCTTTCAAAAATGAAAATAAAAATCAGGTAGTCTGATGTAATTTTCCCTCAGCCACAATTCTTTATCTGTGACAGAGACAGTGTGGGGTGCATGCCCAATGAAAACACTGCTGACTGAAATCATATTAAAGGACTGATTTTGGATTACAAGCTTGTACACATAAACACACACATATTCCCCCTGAAGGTCTCTGCCATTCCCAGCTATGCATCCAGATAGCTGTATTGCCAGCTGTGCTCTCAGGAGTCGCTGCCTTTTGATTCTGTGACCTTCTGCATCACCGAATAGCCCAGGTGTAATCACGGAGGGAAAGACTCCCTCCACTCCCTGCTGTTGACTTCTTCATGGTCTTCTCGTTCACTACCAAATAGAGAAGGAAGAATGACTACTTTTTTACCTCTGCTTTCATAGCTTTGAAGACTTAAATTGTCTTGTAACTGTTTATTTTTCAAACTATGTTATTTTTATGCAATTTAGCCTTATGTGTTACCACCCCTAGCACCTTCAAAATACTCTGCTGCTCTTTTTTTTTTATTTTTATTTTATTTTTTCCCCCTGAATATTTTAAGGTTTGGCAATAGGACCATGCAGATTTCTTCAGGAATGTGGTCCAAAAACCTGGAGCTGATGGATCAATGGTTGTTACACCACTGTTACACTTTTCAGATCTGCTCAGCTTTTCTTTGTGGTTTTATTATTCCAGCAATTTCCTCTTTAAATCAAAATGAACACTCATTGGTGGGCATTTATTACTATAGTTACTGATACTACTATGTTCATTTTGACTAAAGAAATGTGAATATTAAAATAATAGATTTGGATGATAGCTTATACTGAATATCACCTGACTTTTTAAATTTTCCCATGGTAAAACTGTAAAATCAAGCTTGTAAAGGAAAGCCAGATCAATGGAAATGAGATTGAAATGGGGCACACAGGGTATATTTACTGTAGTGACAGTCAGTGATGTATAGCCTTGCACATCAACTAGGCAAGTGCAGGTGAAATGCAATGTAAGTTTGGTACAGTTTCCAATCACATGGAAGGTAAATGAAACCAGAAGGAAAGAGATCTTCCTTTGACACCATGTGCTCATTCCTCACATTGTTTTCATTTTAGATATTTAAAACAAGATGTTTAAAATATTGGGCCATGTATATTCTGCATAATAAACCTTTACCAGAAAATTTCCCACTTGCCAAAGAACGCATCCAACATTTAATAATTATGGATGCATTGCTATAGCTCAATTTCCAGTCTGTGTCTTCTTTTTTTTTTTTTTTTTAGCTTGGGCAAATAAATCTGTTTATAACAGGTCTGAGTAATGATTAACACATACAGAGTCCTCGTAATAAAGCTGTAGTCTGCAGGTTTCTTTTCAGATTTGTGACTGGTAACTGGAGCTATTATATCTACAGTAAATGGACTGTTACTGAAGAACTGTGAGTCTTAAAAAGGTGGCTAGAGGCAGAAGAATGTGGCTCAAAAGTCAGATCTTGCTCTTATATTGCATTGCAAGTGAAGTTTGGATGGCAAAGCGGCTTGATGCTAGAAGAAATTTGACCAAGGAACATTATTCTCTTGAAGACAGTGGTTCTGCAAAGTGGAACAGGCTGAAAAGGAGTCTATATCAGGGCAAGTCCTGCAGGATACGAGGCTGCTGCACAGGAAGGAATGATGACTGCAGCTTTAACATTGCTTCCAGAGCAGCTATATGTTACTGTGACCAGTTCTGTGCCTCAGGTCCTCCTGGCCCCATAGACTGCTGCGCTGACTACTGGGATACTTGTGAGAACACCATTGAGCCCACCAGGTCTGATGAGCCTTGGCCACCTTCAGCATCAGGTGGGTATGGAGAAAAGGCTCAGATGGCATTAGTGCATCATGACAAAAATATGCTTGGAAGTAAAACTACCAATTAATCTTTAGAGTGTATGCATCCTAAAAATGTGCCTACAGATATAGTGGACAAAGGCACTGAATATGAAATCAGAGTAATAATTATGTTTGCTGCTATTTCTTTGTCTCTAGGATGTATTTTTAGAGTTGGCTAGATCCGAACTGTTGGACAGAACCACTCTTACAGCAGTTCAGTGCAGAAGTAGATGAAGGGATGTGAATAGACAGGATTTCTGGCCAACATTTTGTTCTTTTTTAGTGTTTTATTACTCAGCTTTTAGTGGAAGTTCCCCCAGGAGTACTCTAATCTCAGTCTTTTGGTTTTGTAACTAAAGATTACAGAATGGATCTACAAACATCTGGTCCTCACTTGGTTCCTGCAGAGGGTGCTAGAAGTTAGCTGGTGCTACATGTCTAGAATTGTGAATTTTAAACCTAGGCAGCTTCTTACCACGATAAATCTGGCTGAAAATATAGAGATTGTACCAAACTTTCAACAGCCTAAAACTGAAACGATAACACCATGAGCTTTAAAAATTAACTCTTTCTTCAAGGCATCTCTGCTGCTTGCAGTCCTGCAGTCAGACCACAGGCTCTTCAGGAGGCTGTGCTCTTAAGCCAGGCACACAGCCATATCTGATAAGTGGCAGCACCAAAAATGCTAAAGGCTGCAAAACAAACTTGATTTTCCAAAGTGTTTCTAATCTTCTCAAAGAACGTTGTCCAATTTGTGTAAATAAAGACATTTCTTTTGTATTTACGTAGGCTGCACTGTTGTGTATTATTTCCAGCAGACTGGGAGTTGCTCTCATGAGCTCTGCTTACACTCTAAGCACTATTTCTGCTCCAGAGCTGAGACCTTGGGGTCTAGTTTTGCAGGCTGCTCATGGAAGGAAATCACTACAGAATCTGTGGTAGTTTGCCATGTGGGTCCCGGGACAGGTGTAACTCCGACAGGTAAAAATGTAACAGGAGGTTTAGATAAGGGAATTGGTGAGGTGAAAGATTTTTATTGCCTTTTTCAATTCAACTTTTACTTCTCTTTTCACTGTTATGTAACTGTTGTACATGCCTGTCATAGATAATAATGATATTTTACCTATTTGAGCACCTTTATTTGCTCTGTAGGTGAGGTATTGTCATATTTAATTTACATCTTGCTTCAAAACAAGCTGTTGTTTTTCTGGTCCTGCTTTGTTTCTTTGTTGATGGAAAATCTTCAGCTTTCTGAAGTCTTTTTATTGGATACTTGCTATGCAAACAACCTAAAGGATTAAAGGAGAGCACCAAAGCAGGCAAAATACAGCAGGAGAAAATAAAACTCGGAAGGAATATTCTAGAACTGAAGTGTCTGAGGAATAGGGAACAAAGAATGAAATTGGAAAGAAGAAATGGAGAAAAAAGACTGAATGTCAGAAGATGAAGCAAACAACGAAGCATTTTTAGAAACACTGCAAGTGTATTGGCTAACTTTTACTAACCGAGACTGTGCTGCTGCCTTTGGCCAAGGATTGTTAAGGCACTACCGACCACATACACCTGGAAGATTTTGATCTTCTTATTGCCTGTGGTTTAGCTCTCAGTGCTTTCCGACACATGCTGCTTTAAACAAACCAATAAACTTCAGTGCTTTGCATGGGATAGAAGGAATATCAATAAAAGGGCACAATGCTGCATTTCTGCATCCCAATTTATCCACTGCCGCGGTGCACAGCACAGTAAGCTATTGTGTGCACCCTAAGCATTTGTGTGCACCAGGCTGGGGGCCACTGCAAGTATAACTTTGTGAAACTGCTTTGACTTTGTCTTTACGAACGCAGCATTCAGCAGTTTGCTGCAATGGCTTCCCTGTATCGTTTCAGGAGAAGATGTGCACACAGTCCTGTTATGTACGTCTTAGACACTGGACAGAAAGTCTGGATTTGGTGGTGGTGTTATTATTAGGAGAACTGTTAGAGTTTTATTTATAGAATGCACTTATTTTTTTGATCTTTCTGTTTCACTTACTCTGATGGTACTAAAAGCTTTATCTGAGCCAACACACTAGATCTCACAGTGGTGATGTTACAAAAGAGACACAGATTGTGATTTCACACTGTGCAGTCCGACTCTGGCCTACAGAGTATATATGTCTGGAGACATTTGAGTTACAAAACTAATTACACAGATGTTGGGGCTGATTAGGTGAGAATTACAGGAATTTGGGAAGATTGAACCAAGAGGCAATCTTGACCAAGAAAACCAAAACCAAGAGGCAGGTCCTGATTTATTAAGTCCACTTCCTTTCAAGCACAATCTTCATATAAGTCATCAGGATGCACCTGAAAATGAAATAATTTCCCACTTATTTCTCACTATATCTCCCAGAATATTAATATTTCAGTCTAATACCTTGATGGCTGGACAATCTGCCCTTTTTCTTATGCAGCTGATGTCTTTCAGCTTTGATATCTCTACTTTTTGACGCTGATGCTTTAGACACATTTAGAGGCAGTAAGTACTCCTGACCCTTCAAGTCCTAATTTTGCTAGGCTAAGGAACTCTGTTCTTAATCTTCAATTCCCCAGGCATACATTAGTAGAAAGTTTCTTTTGTACTTGTTCAGGTTTGCATTTTTTCTTGAGTGTGGGTGGGAGGGCTGCCAGCAGAGCTCCAGTGGGGCTTCCTCCTGCCGCTGATACAACACTTCAATACTTCCTTCCCTGGCTGTAAATGAAATATCTTGCTTGATGCCTACTTCCACCTACTGTCTGATCCTGGCACTGGGGCACTCTATGGCAAGTCATGACACCTGAGTAATTTGCCTTGGGTATTTTCTGAGAAATGTCTCTGCTGCTAGCAGAAATTGAATTAGAGCAGAAACTTCAGGCCTCACAGTGCTTGGGTGAGATATATCTCACCTATGTCTGTGCTAGTTCATGCAGTCTGCTGCATGATTAACAGGGTAAAATAGGCATTTATAATTAATTCATCATCTCTAGTCCACTTCTGCACTGTGGTATAAAATTAATTATGGCTTAGAGGTGAATATTTCTCTCATGTCAATGAAGGAGATCTTCATTTGTACCTTTAGGCTTACCAGTATCTGTAGAGGAAGCATGAAAAATACTGTCTTTCACTTAAGTAATGTATACATTACTTGCATAATATCACATACAATGCATAAAACCAATTAATTCAATAGTAGCAAGAGTTTTGAGTTAACTGACTTCAAGAACAATTTTTTTTCACACGTCTATATGTTATGTTGGCAGGTTGTTACAAAGATGGCCGATATTACGGAGAAGGAGCAATAATTAAAGACAACTGCAATTCCTGGTAATGTTTCAGAGAACACAAAATTGAAATTATTTTAGCATATATCATGAAATAGGAATTAATTTGCTTAGCATCCCTAAATTCATATTTAACTTAATCAATGCTTGGAAGAGTAGTACAGTATTAAGAAATCATAGAATTGTTCTACAGCCAACATAAAAGAATGGTGAAGGAGGATGGACTTCCTAATCAAGACATGAAAACATGAGTATTAATGTCTCCCCCTCAGTGACCTAAGTTCTGTTCCTGCTCAGTATACTGGCTCCGAGTTGAAATGGTTTCATCACAGGTCTGTAAACTTACCTGAATACAGAGAAAACCGGTATTATTAAAATCTGGAGGAATATTTTTATAGCAGCTTCCTCCATTACTTTGGCAAAAGTGATCATCTCTAATTTTATTTTAAAAGGGGAGAATTTAACTTATGTAGAAAATAGATGAACTGTTTGAATGCCCCATTCCCTGTCCTGGGACATCAGATGGAGCAGCAGGGATGCTCTGTTGCCATCCCTGGCATTCAGCAGGTGGTCCCCTGCACCTCCAAAATCAGGACAGTCCAATGTGCTCCAGGAACATCCAAATAGGGCTTGTGCTCCATCTGCCCTGAACTTGTCTCAAGATACCTGGAGAAAGGTGTCTACAGCCATGGAGCTCCTTTCTGGTTCTCCAAAGTGGAACTTCAGCAGAAAAACTTATTTTCAGTACATCGTTCTTTTCTCCCTGGCTTGACCTCACAGAAATGGAAGCAAATTTTGTCAAAGATGAGATTTTCCACAAGCTGTAACCTTACCACCTCATTCCAATTAGGATTCATTAGGTAGTGAAGTGGCACTACGCATGATTTTGTTTTTACTGTGACATTTGTAGTTTAGGCTTTTCCTCTTCCCCATTCTTCATTCTACTGTAAAAGTACGATTCATTTTCTGCTCAATTATATTCTTGCCCTTTCAGCAAATGCATCCAAAGTAACTGGAAGTGTTCAAATGAAGTATGCCTTGTTCGCCCAGACTTGATTCACCACATCAATTCTGGAGATTACGGGTGAGAATACTTCTATTTTAAGTAAAAGTATTATAGTGCTGTAATAGTAAAGCTTTTTAATAGAAAAAATGCCAAAGTGTTGTGATCCACTTGAAAGCTCATAGCATGTAAGTGCAAATTACAAGTTACATGGTTCTCTCTGCCCCTCCCCTCCCCAATTACATCCTATGTACTATGCAATAATAAATGTACATCTGTGAAACTTCTAAAACTGTAGCAAAATATAGATTTTAAAATAGAAAGATACTGAAAATCTCATCCTGGTAAGAGTCAATATTGGAAATACCTATCTATTCTCCAAATTACTATAATTCTTTTGCTCACAAAATGCTCTTCAGAACATCTTCCTTATTCTTCACTTTAATAGTTAGGAGAAACATTCATATATTTATTTATTTCTTGCCCACTTTCCAGAAGGTCATTCTACATACCAGAGCCATACCAGGTAGTATTGGAAGAAGGGAGAATAGGCCAAAGGGATCAAGATATCAGAACTTTGTGAGATATCAGTGGTTTTCTTGCTACCAGTTTTTATTCCTTGCAATGGAGAGCAGTGCCTTGGAAGATTGCCTGCCTAGAAGTCGAGGAGCTAAATTCACTAATGAAGTCTATGGAAGTGCTCAGGTTTCAAACCGTGACTGTGCTGAAACAGAGCGTACTTGATGGGAGAGATTTAAACTAAGGGAGGTAGGATAGACAATTGAGTTGGGCACCAGCAGCCACAGGGTAGTTAAGGCCACCTGAGAGACTAGATTCTGCAGGTGTTTATATTCTCAGTGACTACAGGCAGGCTGAGTAACAAGGCTTCTCCTTTAGGGAGTGTGAATTCTACCTGTCTTCCACATACACAAGCAAGCAAGAAATAAATGGGTAAAGAGAGCACCCTCCCCTTGACTCAGGCCTTCTCCAGTAATGCACACAATTTTAGTTTGCTCCAAATGTGTGTTCTTTTTTGTTGTGTATATGTTTTGAAGGGGCTAATGCTCGGTTCTGAGTTTGGCCTACCTTCCTCAGATAGAGTAGGGAGGGAGTACTTAAAGACAGCCCTTTCTCTGAATCTTGGTGGAGAACAGGCAGAACAGCTGGGCTTTCTGCTGCGTCAGCAGTGTCTCATAACTACTGCTGGCGTTTCAGCATTTGAAGGCAATGTAACCCACTGTGTGAAGCTGTTGTCACCTGGTTTGAAGCATTATGTGAGCACAACTTCAAGACAACTTTAATTGCTTTGATCGAGCACCTTATTTTCTAGTATTTCTCTGAAGCATTGCACACTCATCTGCTGAAGGCTGATATGATGCTGACCTCAAATCACCAGTTTTCATATCGTGTTCTTCCAGCCTACATTTACCCACAGAGGAATAGCCTCATTCGTATCTAACAGAATGTCTTGAAACATAATTTGAAACATTTATTTCTGGATGTTATTTTTAGTGGCGCTCTTCTAAAGAAGGAGTAGAAGAGAAGATATTATGAACAGTGTCTCTAACCTTGCTTTGTTTGCTTGTTTTCTGTCTGTGAGGAAGATGGAAAGCTGACAACTATACTCAGTTCTGGGGCATGACACTGGAAGAAGGTTTCAGAAAGCGCTTGGGCACACTACCTCCATCTCATTCCTTGCTGAATATGAAAGCAATTCCAGTATGTATTGTGTGATATTGATTTATTTATTTTTAATAATTTAATTTTTTGGAAAACAATGTGGACAATTATAAGATTATGATTAAGGTATTAAGGACTAAGTGCCTCCATGTTGCATGTGAAAGTCCTAGAATAGTTTTCCTATCCATAGAAAGTGTGGCTATATCCATCAGTATCAAACAAGGAGGAATAAAAGTAAGTGCTATACATTGGGAAACTGTGCACTAATATTCACTTATCAGTGTTAGAATCATAGAATGATTTGGGTTAGAAGGGACCTTAAAGATCATCTAGTTCCAACCACCACCTGCTGTGGGCAGGGAGACTTTTCATTAGACCAGGTTACTCAAAGCCATATCCAGCCTCGCCTTGAAACCTCTAGGGATGGGGAATCCAGAGCTTTTCTGGACAACCTGTTCCAGCGTCTCACCATTCTCTGTTGAAAGAATTTCCTCCTAATAATGAATCTAAATCTTCCTTCTTTTAGTTGGAAACTAAGGAGTAAGTAGATAGATCAAAGATCTGCAAAATGCAGTAACTATAACACATTTTGGCCTTCGGTTTTTACATAGTTCAGGCAAATGATTCCATTGGAATATCTGTTGGAAGTCAGTTGTCATTGATTGTTTTATATGGATAAAGTAGATGGGATTCCAGATGGGAGGAGTTGCAGGGACAGCAGTGCTTAGCTAACAATTGGCAAGGAATATGGGAGAGAGGGAGAGGATCATGTGCAATAATTTTCACAACCTTAACTGTTTTTCTTGAAGCAAAAGACTGGCTTGCTGGAAATTATACCAAAGAGGATTGTCAGAGCCAGAAGTTGACAGAAATTGGGCTTTGGCAATCTGCCTCATGCACTCTGCTAGACTACTCTTCTCAGCCAAAGAAGGATTGATTTCATTTGAAAATGTTCTGTCAAAAAGAAAAGAAAAAAAAAAAAAAAAAAAAAAGAAAGAAAATGGCATAACAGATTTCAGTGCAATATTTACTGTGTGGGGGAATTGGTGCAAATTGCTGTTGTTCAACATTGAGATTCAAGAAAATTTGAGTTAATTTTTACTGTTGTTTACTTTTATTCTTGAGAAATAGAGTGTAAGGCTTGTATGGCAGGAACAAAAAGTGGGTATATTGCACCTAGCTCAGAGATTGACATTTACACTGACTTCTGCCTATTCCCACGTTAGACAAATAACATCTAGGGAAACAAGAAAAGGAAGGGTAAAATAAGATATTTTCCATATTTCCTCTCTTCTATTCAGTTTGAGTTAGCTGCTCACACAGTGCTCTTTCATTATATCCAGCCCATTAATTCTTTGCTGTTAAGTTTCCTGTAGCTTCTTTGGCTGGTGCACTACTTATGGCCTTGTTTCCACAGGCACATTTCTCAGGCACATGCTCTCCAATGCTACCTTCTTACAAAATCTGAAAGCCCTAACTCAACTATTTTTGGCCCTTCCAGAAACTTCCAGGAGCTTGAATGTATTCTCTGAAATCCAACTCCATGCATTTATCCATTTAACCCTCAAGAAGTCCTGGAAGTTACTAGAGGCACATGCTTTGCACAGGAGCCTGAAAAATCTTTCTCACTGCTAAAAATATAAAGTAATAACACCTTCATGACTTTTCCAGTTTCTCCAGAGCTCTGAACATACAGAAAATCAGTCTGAATTATACAGAAGCCCATCTCCAACCTATGGTTTCTCTTCAGAAGTATCAAAACTTTCTTATTCATACCCTAGGGTTTCTGTCTTGGATTGTTTTGATGTAAAAATATTTTTCTCTGAAACTTCTTGTGAAGCTTCAAAACTCTCTAATTGTGTCCTATTCTGTAGTTTTCTAGAACATCACCTCTTTAGTGTCTTTGTTCTGTCTCAGGAAATTTTCTGTCTGACACATTTTAATACTTTCCATAAATGTAAGAAAAAATACCTCTACTCATGTAAGCAAAAATTTCATCAGTAGATAATTCCATGTGAAATGGTAGTTATCAGGATTTAAATATTTACTGAGTGAAGATGTGGTAAAGCATCTCTTCATAGCTGTCCCAATATCCATTGTCACAACATGATCCAGCAAGTTCATAGTGTGGATCAGGCTCACCAGGGGTAGAAGTAATTTCTTTCAATTGACAGACCAACAGCAGTCATAGGATCAACTTCTGCTTCCCCTTCCATGATTTTTTTTCTGATATTTTGTGAAGTATACCAATATTTTAAAAAGACTCAAGTAATAAAAAACAGGTAAGCTTTATTAAAGTGTTTCTATTAATCTTTTGTATCCAGGTGACAGCTGAGAAGAGAGTAAAAAGGCATCAATGATGAGAAATACAGGAATGAATGTTTTTTAAAAATCTATTTTCCGAGACTGTCTTCAAACCTTAGTGGTTTGGCCTTCAAGTGACCTTGTTGAGTACTAATTTACCTGCAGGCTGGGGAACTGCTTACTTACTGTACATAAAAAAGGGCTAATTAAATGTTTTTTGTGTTCTCTGGGATTATTACTGTCTTTCCCATTTTGCAGGTGAGAAAACTGAGAGTCATTTGTCCGAAGTCACGTACATAGCTGATAAAAATGTCACAATTAGCGTTTGAGAGCTTTTGGCTCTAGTCAGTGCTGATCTGATTAAAAGCTGCTAGCTTTGCCAATGGAGAAAGAAAACTATAGTTCTCCATTCATTAAATGCCACACTTTCTGATTTGAAATAAAAACCATTTATTCAGCATGCTACTGTCTCAGAAATAAATGACAGCACCTGGTAACTAAGAGGTTGCTGTTTTCCATTGTGTCTTCAGGGTGCTTGAGAGAAACAGGTTTTTGTATAGAAAGGACTCTTAGCTCATTTGTGCCAGGGGAAAAAAGATTCCAGGTTGTAAAGTACTTCTGTGTTAATCATTTCATATCCAGAGCAGAGTTTTAGTTCTTAGCAGTATTTGTTTGTAGAGTATAGGTTTTTCTGTTGTTTCATTGACTGACATATCCAACTGCAAATCTGCTTTCACAACATTACTGAGTGACAGAGGTACATTTCCTCTTAGGGAAAACAGAAGCTTTTTGCAGTTACTTATAGGGCTTTTAAAAACTCTGCTATTGCCTTTACAAAGGCTTGTGATGTCTTGAAAACTCCTCTTTTTCTTTTCAACACCAAAGAATAAATACAATACTGTGTTTAAAAAAAAAAAAAGAAAGAAAGAAAGAAAGGAAGGAAGGAAGAAAAAATACTGCTTTCTCTTGGAGAAAACAAAACAAAACAAAGTTATTTCATTGTTCCCAAATTTGCAAATTCAGTTATCTTCAGCCTTTTTTTTCTCTGATGGACCATCTAACTCCTCTGAAGTTGTAGGTGAAGTCTAAGTATTCCTTTAAAACTCCTAACTTTCCTCTTTTGCCCAGACTGGCAAACTCTTTTAAACCTTCACACGTATTCACTGCACAGAAAACATGTGAAAGTTTAAAAGAGTTTGCCAGTCATTTTCCTGATTCCATTGTGCTGTGTAATGGTGGATTATGGAGAATACGTTGAGAAACAATTGTCTTGACTCACCATTTGTCACAGAACAACAATATTAGCTTCTCAATATTAGGGTAGCAATTACTCAGACGAAAAGCTAATGTTTCTGGCTACAGGTCAGTCCTGCATTTCATAATGGCAGGGCTGAAGGCTAATGAGGGATTTGTTCTAGGATTTACAATTTGAGGCTATTAAATACATTGGCAGTAGCTTAAAAGATATGTAAGTTAACACATTGGCTCAGACCAAAGATCTATGATGAATTTTCTTTTTCTCATCTACCTTATTCAGAATGTAAGTGGTCATTGCTCAAGATGGTGTGCTTAACAACATTTGCCAAATTTTGCTTATTTATTCTTGATATGAACAGATTATGAAACATTATTAATCTGGGATTTTGTCAATGCAATTATTCTTCAGAGTCAACCTTGTGCTTGTGCTTGCTCATGAATCACAGAATCACAGAATAACTCGAGTTGGAAGTAACCCACAAAGGCCATTGAGTCTGGCTCCTGGCTCCACACAGGAGCACTCAGAAATCAAACCTTATGTCTGAGGGTGTTGTCAAATTCTCCTTGATCTTCAGCATCCTGGGGCTGTGCCCGCAGCCTGGGGGGAACCTGTTCTCTTCTGGTGAAGGACCTTTTCCTAACACCCAACCCCATCTCCCCTGGTGAAGCTCCATGCCATTGTCTTGGGTCAGTACAACTCCCTCTGACTTCAGGAAACCATCTGCAAAAGAGACTGCAGTGACTCCATGGTTGCAGTTTCATCCATCCACATCTATAAAGCACCAGACACTTCTGCAGGGGTTGGATCTCTTAAATGCAGCTTTCTGTTGCTGGAAACTTTAGAGCTGTGGTTTTGTTTGCTTTGATGTCTACCTGGAAAGATCATTATTAATTAAGCGAGATTAAGCGAGATATTTAACTTTGCAGACTTTTTGTGTATGCCATTTGTGGCTGCAAGTCCCATATTTCTTCAAAATTTTGAAGAAATCAGAATTCTGATTGCGATTAATGAAAATATTAATATCTTAGCAAGATTAATATTACTGATTTGTTACATGTGAAGGTATAACTTTCAGATGAATATAAATGAATTAAGCATTGGCAATATACTTTAAAAGTGAGTAATGGTATTTTGGACTCTCAGGCTGTATGTAAACTTCATAAATCTTAAATGCTTCAGAATTATTAGGTCTGGGGCATGCAGAGATGGTATCAATCCATCTGCTGTGACTGATTCCAGTTTCATAGCTGATAAAGACCTGAGACAGAAGCTTATTTTTCCCTCACCCACTTCTTTTCAACTGTTGATTTTTTCTGCGGGAAGAAAATCAGCATATGCAAACTGAATGAAGATGTTACTGTTTCCCAGTGCATGCCAGAAAATCATCTGGACACAGCCAAAGTTGTAAAGTTTGATTTCCCAAGTAGTCCTAAAAGAGCTTGTAAGAACTGGGCTCAAATATTTAAATTGTCTAAGGAATAGGCGTCTGATCTTGTAAGCCACACAGGCAATTCAGAATAATTGTACAGCAAGGACATTCGGAATCAGAAGAACAAGGATAAGTAAACCAAAATAAAATAGAGAATTTTTTAATAGGATAGAAGCCTTTGTTTCCACGTGTGATCTTGCTAGTAATAAATAATTATCAGGGAGTGTTTTGTTTGGGAGCAGGATCTCATATTCTGTATATTGTGTTTTCATCTGGAATAGTTGCTCTGAGCAATTGTTTGAGACAAATTTCTAGGCTGGGTGTCCAGGGTGGCTGTGTGGCCATTCCTTTTTTCTTGTGCAGTATAAGCACTGTCCATAAAGTTATTTCATTGTTTTTAATTGCTTAGTGTTTTTGTTATGTCAAACATAGGGCAGATTATTAGCAGCTGTACCAGATGGCTCCTGCATATGTGGGTTTTTGGGCAATTCTTACAGGACATAAATTAAGACAGAGAGAAAAGTATGCAAAAAATGACTGTTCAAAACATTTTTTCTGAACAGCCCATGAATTCATATCAACTCAACATCAGATTGCAAAGTAGAAAGGAAATCAGTGGTTTTCATTCTGGAATGAGAATAAGTGCTGGAAATTGAAAAACCTCTGTGTAAAAGATGAATCAATGAATTTACCCTCCGCTGATTCCCCACTGGTAACTAGAATTTCCTATTTCCAGCCAAGTGGAAAGCATGTCAAGATGAATAGGGTAACATGTTCCTAACTTCATTACTGTTTGCAGCAGAATGCTTTTCCTTCCAAAAATGTCAGCTGGGTCATAATTGATGTGTTTCATAGGGAAATGTTGCTTGAGATAAAAATCAGATAAAAACTGGACAGTTTACTCAGATTGGCAGCTGTACAGCTCAGCTTTTCAGCACAGCTACTGGAGTGCCAGAAAGCCTTCAGCTCTCAGGGCACCCACAGCACCCAGGCACAGGGCAACCACCACATAAATGCTTGGCAAGTCACAGCTGCCAATGCTTGAGGCTTCCTCAATTCAAACATTATGAATATTTAAAACAAAAATGGGATCATTTTGAAGACAAAGTTAGGAAATGAAGCAGATATACATCTACTGCATTTTGTTTTAGGGAAGCTCCCTTCTGGAAGAAAAATTTCCTGAGTTTTTTGCAGCCACTTACGCATGGCCTGATTGGATTCATGATCCTTTGGACCAACGAAACTGTGGAGCATCCTGGGCATTTTCAACTGCAAGTAATAATCTTTCTTTTTTTTTTTCTTTTTTTTTTTTTCCTCCTTTCAAAAATAGTATGTATATTAAATGTATAATGAAAACTTATGTTGATTAGTAATCAAGTAATTTGAACTTTCTGCTCAGTTTTTATTAGCAAAAATTAACAATTGAAATTGCTACACTTTTCATTCTAAGATGTCCCAAGTTAAGCTGTAGAGATTTTCCTTTGCTTTTCATAAGTTTTTGTATCATATGGAGACTTCTTTTGTGACAGGATGTAGGAATAAACCCACTGGTGCAGTTTATCATTAAGAATGAAGTGACTCTTACTCGTCTATATTCTTTGCTTGACTTGAATGTTTTAAAACAAGTAGATGTCATTTTATATATACATATACACATATATATCTGTGCATTTGCCATTGTCTAATCCTTGAAATTCAAGTAATGAAGTGTAAACTTTCCAGTGATTTTGGGAAGACTCTGAAATTTCTCAGGTGTTTGTGGAAAAAAAACTATTATCTAATTCTGTAAATAAACCAATGTCAGTAATGCAATTCAACATCATGTGATAAAACCTCTAGTTTTATGAAAAGTGGACACGTGTGTCTGTGTCACTTTTTCAATGAAATTATAGTGATCAGTTCAGTTAATTTTTCTATGTAGCAGTAAATCTCAGTACATATTAAGATATCTACAGATAGAGGAAAAAATTATGCAGTCAAACTTTGACTTGATCTGAACAACAGGTCCTGATTGATGCAGGTTTCTGGTTCTTCAAATCACAGCATAAGGAGATGTCTTAATTTCACTTACAATTTAGTTAATCTGTCTGTCTTTAAACCATGAATAAATATGTAAGAACTTAGAATCATGACTATATGATCTAGTTCAGACATATGTGGTTCAACTTTCTCAGAAAGATAATTTTATGTGAATCCCACATTACACCTTAATATCAGTAATTCCACATATTTTCTCCACTTAAGCATCTACTTACTTCCAATTAATATTTTCTTTCTATTTTGTTTTTCTCTCCTCCTCATATAAAGGAATGGATATAGAAAAGAAAGAAAAGAGCTTCAGAAATTCAGCTGCAGACAGTTGGGAAATATTTGTATGTAGTTTGCTCCAAAAGTAATGTTTCCTGTTTATTTCCATTGGAAACTACAACAGATATAAAGATCACAGTAACACTATTTGCTAGAGCAGATTGTCAGCTACAAAGCACTATTTTTCAATGCAATGCACCACCACTAGTCGATCTGTGCAGATGAGCTGATGGAGGCACTCTTCATTTTGTGGTGTGACTCTTGTGCATGGCCATCCAGAACATGGCTTATCTTTCATTTTACTGTTGTCACTGCTGTAATGCACCACCCACTGCCTCACTGTGCTCACATCCACTGTTTGGTTTCCATAAACATTCAGCAAACGTCACTGAACATCAATGGGTGCAATATTTTCCACATGGAGGAATTAAATGCTACACCGTTGCTTCATATGCACTTTCACGTCAGATGACATTGTGTCAGATTGCCCCTCTGCTGCCATCTGTCACACAGCAACAAGATGTAATCAAATATTGGTGGGAAGATTCAACCTCTACAGCCATGCTGCCAACATCCACCTCTAATGTTCTGGATCCATATAATAAAATGGGAGGCATTACTTTCAGAGCAGCCCTCATATCTTCTGCTGAATTTAACTATAGATGAATATGCAAGTACAAATATAGAGATTATTATATGAAATTATGTAAATATCTAGTTTGATATTTAAATATATACTAGTATATCTACTAATAAGTTGCTTATGGTACTTTACATTTTTACCACTCTTAAAATTGTTATACAATATCATATTATATTTTATATATACAGATATATATATAATACTGTATATTATATATATTATATAGTATACATATATTATATAATCACAGGATCACAGAGTGACCAACGCTGGGAAAGACCTTCAAGATCATCCAGTCCAACCATCCACCTATCACCTATAGTACTCACTAAACCATGTCCCTCAACACAAAATCCAAACGTTCCTTGAACACCTCCAGGGTTGGTGACTCCACCACCCCCCTGGGCAGCCCATTCCAGTGCCTGACCACTCTTTCAGAAAAGTAGGATTTCCTAACGTATATCCTGTATATCCATAATGTTATCCTATTATATATAATATCCCAATTGTCTTGTAAAAATATGTCCCCAGACAGAAAGTGTTGATGTATTTCAGTCACTCTTTCAAAACAACCACTGAGAAGCCCTGAGTAATTATTTGGTTTTGATAACACAATTTCTTTCAAAACAGGTGTTGCAGCAGATAGAATAACAATTCATTCTGATGGCCAAATCACAGACAACCTTTCTGTTCAGAACCTAATCTCTTGTGATACCAGGAATCAACATGGATGTGGTGGTGGCAATATTGAAAATGCTTGGAGATATTTGAAAACGCATGGGTAAATATTTTATTTATGTTTCAGTTTATCTTAACTTGAATAAGTTACATGTGTTATAATGATGATTTCTGATCTTTTGTGATGAAAAGATTTAGCTCTCTCTTAGATCAGAGATCTAAGATCTTAGACCCATATTCGTCTCATCAGGACAATCACATTCTAATGTACACCTTCTTCAAAATACTATAGTGAAGTCCAGGAGCTAGGAAGCATTCCCAAAAAAGTAAGTAAAGCCTATTTTGAACAAGATAGCTAAGGGCTCTTGCTGTGTAAACTACTCAACTATCTAGCTCCCTTTCTCCAAGCCTCATTATATCTCGTTTTTTTCATTATGGTAACCTCTCCAACTACAAGAAACACAAGAAAAGTCTTTCTTTTTGTGTCTAGGAAAATATCATAAATGCAGTCAGAACTTGTGTATTATGTTTGGGATACATGCTCTTGATGTTAAACAGCCTTGAGAAAGCAACCAGTTGCTTAATACAGTATTTTAAATATTCCAACTGTTTGAACTCTGTCTTCAAATAAAACAAATTGTAATCATGTTATGTCAAGATTGTTCCAAAATGCAACACAGTAGCAAGGACGGTACCTTACTCTTTCTTCCTTCAAGCTGAACTTCTCAAAATTAACAATCCACAAATCCAAAGTGGACAGTTAGAAGTCTGTTGAAATGGCCAGTAATACTCTATAGAAACACAGAATTGCTTAGTTTGGAATGAATGTTTTATTACTATTATTATTTATTTTGGAGATCGCCTGCTCAAAGTATGAGTAGTTTCAAAATTAGACAAGATTTCTTATGATCATGTCCCCTGTCATGTTTTGAGAATCTCCAGGGATGGGGGTTCCATAGCCTTTCTTGCAATGTTCAATCATTCTTGCAGCAAAGAACTTATTTAAAATTTATTTTATCTAATTAGTGTCTTCCTTGGCAAAACTTGCCAACAGTACCTTTCAGATGTACATCTCAAAGAAGAGTCTTATTCTGTCTCCTCTGTGACCTCTTCTTATGTAGTTGAAGACAGTAGTTAGAACTCCGTTTAGGCTTGTCCAGACCAAAAATATTAATATTCCTCAGTTTCTCTTTGTATATCACGTCTTCAGTGCCTTCAGCACCTTTATGGCCCTTTACTTGCCCAGCTTGTCATTGTCATTATCTTGGATCCCATGCCTGAACACGGCGTTCCAGATGTAAGCCCACAAGTGACAGTTTGAGGGAAATAACCATTTTTCACAATGCCTTGGCTATGCTCTTGCTAACACAAACCGGTATTGTGGATCCACTTTTGTTGAGAGGGCCCACTGCTACCACACATTCAACCTGATGCTGCAGACACTTTCCTGTTAAACTGGTTTGTACACAGCACTGCTGCATGGGCAGTTTTGTCTCTCCAGTAGGATACGTGTCTTTGTTAAACTTCATGAAATTTCTGTCACCTTCTTTCTCCATCTTCTCAATGTCCCTATGAATAACAGCCCTGCCCTCCACCATACTGACTACTCACCAACAGTCTGGCATCCTCCACAGATTTTAATGAGCATGTTTTACCTTCCACTGTCAAGGTTCTTAATAAATGACACAATCTTAAGGTAGGGAATGTCACTAGTAAAGAGCCACCAGTCATTAGTCACAGGACAGTCTATTTCGGTTTTTGGCTTTGTAACTGACTTACCCAGCCCCACTCTCTCACAGGCTGATGTAGAAACTGCTGAAAGTGTTGCTAAAGTCAAGGTAAATTGCAACCTATGCTTTTCTTATTCACGGTGAAGCTAGTCATGTCATTATAACCAGATTACTTCATCTGGCCACCTCATCATGGGGACACATGATTTGCCCTGGTGAATCTGTGCTGTTTCCAATCAAGTCCTTGACCTTTATGTGCCTGGAAACAGCTTCTAGGAGGATTTGCAATAACTTGATTTTATATACTCTATACTTCAGCTGTTTCTCACAATGTATAACTTATTTTGGGCTCCATACAATAATCTGCTTCCCCTCACTTTCATGCACTCCCATCCCTTAATCTTTCTTTCACATACCTCGTATTCATAGGCAGAGAGATCTCAGGTCTGCTGTCTGTCAACTTTTAATTTTAGCTTATGAAAAAGCAAACAATCCATGAACAGATCAGGAGAATGTCAGATGTGCTGCATCATACGTCATAGTTGTCATGGTAGCCAGGGGATCCAGGTGAAGACCAAAGCACTGTCATTCAAACAGACGTTGAGTATATAAAGCAATCATTCTGCTTGTCCTCAAGTGTACCAGAAAGGTAATCTATTTTTTATCAGATCAGATGAGGATTCCAGGGCTTAAACATTGAACTAGTTTTGACATTTTTTGAGTGGAAGACCCTCCAGCTAAGTGAATACAACAGGAACCCAGGGACTTCACCTTGGTAAAAGCCTCAGCGTCTCATTTAAGTAAAGATGAAGTAAAGAAATTAGTTATGGCTTTACATTTTAAGAAGTTGAATACGGTCCTTCTAATCTGTAGCTCATGCTCTTAACAGAGTAAATATAACTCTTGCTAGAGTTGTTTATCTACCATGCTAAGGATAGGAGCATAAGATTTTCCAGTGTAAATGAGATTCATTTTGATCAGTATTATCTCCACAGCTATATTGGAGATAGTTGTTTTTAAAGAAAATAGCCTAAGGAATGCAGAAATAGGATAGATTTTCTGGGTTTCTGTTCTCCCTGTCTATTAGCTCAGTATGGATATATCCACCATGACCCCATAATAATGAATTTCTTCATATAGCAAGAAGCTATTTATTTTTTAACCTAAAGAAGTGTGGTTACTGACACAGCATTCTCCAGAGGCAGTTTAGGCATACAACAGTTAGTTCCTTCTAACTAATAAAAAATAGAAGTTGTGCTGAAAATGTATGAAGCACTTTATTTACCCAGCTATATCTATACTTCACTTTTCAAAGGATGTTCACTGTTACTCCTTTTCTTGACATCTCAATGTATTCACCAGAGACTTTTCAGCTGACTGTCTGAGTAACCAGTTTGGAGAGCAAGTTCTCCAGATATCTGACACATCTCTACAGTCTACAGCCATCTTCTCAGTCCATCACACATCATTCGTGTTGCTCCTGAGCCACCTCCTACACATACAGCATCACTGCACTCTTACAGATGTTTGCCTGCCACCTGTATTTATCCCCCATTATTGATTCACTATTAAAGTACCAAACCTGAAAATATTTCTACTTCCCGTTTTTATAAACAGTTCTAAATCCTGATTTGTGTTCTTCAAGTTCAAAAGATCCATCAGAATTCCACCTTAAAGAAAAATCCAAAGAGTGAGGACAGATAATGGAGGAACACAAGAATGGCTATACAGAGTCTGAGCAAAGGTCTTTCTAGCCCCAAGAGCAAAGGATAACACATTCATCTAAAAGCTTAAGTAAAAGTAATGGTTCACTAATGTGGATCACTAAGTCATTTTTCTTTCTAATGCCCACAATACTTTTCACTATGAAAAATTGGAAATGTATGGGGTAAAAGTCTGAAGTGTCTTTTGAATAAGTCCTGAGAAATGGTGCTTGCTTCCTCACACTTTCAGATAACTTTTATTTTATGAGCCTGTATATGGCAATCAATTTTTTTTTTTTCATTATCTCCATAGCCTGCAATAGGTAGAAAGCACATTGATTTTCTATGTGGAGTTGTAAATTTTCACAGCAGGTGTTCAATGATGTATTAGAGTTCCTGGTTTTCTGATTTCTGAAGTGTGCTTATCTCCAATTTTTGATAGATTTTCAGGAAAAAAGAGTGCTAGTCTAAACTATCCCAGTGAAGTCAGTGGAAGATTTCCATAAAGCTTGATAAGAAGAACTTTCATAAAAACTGAGCACACATGAGTGAAAACCGCTAGATGAGTAGCCAAATGGCTGTTTAACTCTCCTTTTCTCTCTGTCTTTCTCCATTAATTAAAGAATATATCTTTATTCTAATTCCAATTATTCTTAATTTTAAAAATCTCAAAAGCAAGTCACAAATTGTGAGGAATCAGTTTGGTTTGAAAATATCTTTTTTTGAATGTGGTGCTGGAAATTACAATTTATATAAATATATGCACGTGAACACAAAACAAGCTGTTATTTCTACACAGCCATGGAAATGAAGGGTAATCAATTGTGTAACAAGCAATAACAGCCCGTGTACATGCGGCTTAAATGCCTATCATTACTGAATTGAAAGCTGGGAATACAGACTGTCTTCAGATATTTTGGAAAGGATTGAAAGGATTTACTCACACTGTGAGTAAATTGAAGATCTAAATGATATCAGCCTAATTACCCTTAGATGGACAGTTACTTATCATGTAGACAGAGTTTCTGCTTCTTGCAGTTTCTGGGCATGTTGGTCTATTTTGGGAGCAAGAAATTTGCTAAGAAAAAAGACTTTTTCCTCATAGTCAATTGTTCTACCATCAAAAGCTTAATGGGAAAATACCAAGAGTAGTTGAAGCACACATGTACTAATCTCGTAAAAATCCTGATGGATTAGTAAACACAAGCAAATCTAATTATCCTTCAATCTGTGTGAATATAGTTTGTCCTTTTTCAGATTCAGCAAGTTGAGTATATCCAGTGACCTACTAAAATATGAGGGCTGCTCTGAATTTAATGCCTCCCATTTTATTGTGTTGTCCACAGTGTCAGAGGCAGATGCTGGTAATACTGCAGTAAAGGTTGAACTGCTCACCAGTATTCTGTTCCATTTTGTTGCTGTGCAACAGATAGCAGGAAAGGGGCAGTCTGACACAATGCTATCCAAAATGGAAGTGTGTATGAAGCAATGATGTGTCATCAAATTCCTCCATGCAGAAAAAGTTGCTCCCACTGATGTTCACTGATGTTTGCTGAATGTTTATGGAGATTAAACAGTGGATGTGAGCACAGCGAGAAGGTGGATGGTGTGTTTCAGCAGTGGTGCCAATAACAGTGTGTCACTTCCACTGGTGCAGATCTTTACAAGCATGGAATGTGGGCTCTTGTTCATTGCTGTTGAAAATGCACAGCTAGTAGTGATGATTCTGTTTAAAAAGTAGTGCTTTGTGGCTGAGAATTTGCCAGATAGTGTTATTGTGCTCTCTGAATTCAGTTTTTAGAAGAGGCCTTCTGATATGTGTTCATGATATCATCACAGAAATGTGTGTATTGTTTTAGAAACATCTAGCATTGTAATATGAAAAACTAGAAAGACCTAGAGTATGAAAATTATAAAATAATTAGTGGAAGATTCAGTGTGCCTTTACTTGAATATTTCAAATTGATAGCAAGGGCATTTTAAGCTTGCTTGCTTCAATTTATTGAAGGAAAAAGGATGTTCATTAGCCAAACAGTCAAAATGGTTGAACAATTCAGAAAAAGCAATTTAAAATAAAGAAACTTACTGTATGAGGAAGCAGTTCATTGTAATTAGGGTTTTGATGTATTGCCAAGGTAAAGAATTAAAACCTCTCCTTACCATTTTTTGAAAAGACTTCTTTTTTTTATTATCCTTCTCTATACTTGGATGAAAGGATGGCTCTTAACCTGTTCTTCAAAGCTATTTTGATTTAGCACTTTGGAGACTTTTACATTCAAAATTAGCATGAGTTTAAATCTTAGGTGATTTACTGCAGCCCCTCTGCAATCATCCTCTGACAGAATCAGTGCTAAATTCCCTTGAGTCTATGAAGCCTTAGGCTAGAGAAGAATCATCCAGAAGAAGCTCTCTTTGCAATTCAAAGATTTATCTTTGATTACTTACGAACAATCAATTAATTTAATGTATTTTCTATTGAATATTTCCTCCATGATTCTTGCAATCTACTAATTTTAATTATTTTGAAATCTTTATTACAATAAAAGCTGCCCAGCGATGACTGGTCTTAGTATTTTCAAAACACAATCTTTGTAGAATATATAATTTCATTTAAATCGTTCAAAAGGAGTCTTAATTTCTGTAAATATACTCTGAAACCCCTGAAAGCAAAACCATTGATGCAGATTTCTAATGGCGTTGCGAAAAATTTACTTACTGTATTTGTGACTGCAAATCCTCTGCATTTGGAAAAGCTTTTGAGAAATGTTTCTAAGAAATAGTGAGGATGGTCTTCAGGATCTGCATAGACCAGACATGTAACACTATTACGGCATGTCTGTCATTTTAGTGACATTTAGCAGGAAGGATCCTGCTGTCAACAACGAGGGTCCTACAGAAGAAGCCCTGTGGCCTACTCCCCCTAGGATTGTCACCAACCTTTTCTGAATATTAGGTGACACATATTCACCAGCCTTTAAGTCTACCTCTGTTTATTCTTTTGGTCCACATTTTCTTGCAGGCAATGCCCTGTCCTTCTCTGCTTCCTAACTTTATATCAAAGTATACTTTCTGAGTTCAGCCTGAGTTTTAACCTGCCAAGATGAAATTTCTCACGTGATGGGAAAACCAATCCTACAGATAAAGCAATTCCTTAACTGTATTCTCATCTTCTTTGTAAGCATAAATTCCTGAAAGTTATTGCAAAACAGTACAATTATAAATTCCACCACTGAAGCCTGTTGAGTTTTACCCTTTCTCTGTTACGTATTTTGTTACAGAAAAGTGCCTCCTGCCAGCATCGCTATAGAGATTTTTATTTTTCCCATGAATCAAGATAATCAACCCAGTCACCAGGCCATGTTTAAATGCTTTTCCTAGTATGTCTCTGCAGCTGGAGCGCTCATTAACTCAGTTCTGTGCTCTCACTTGTACTTACTTCCCACTTGTTTATCTTTTAAGGAAGTGCATTTCTTCCGGAAGGCTTTTGTTAGTGTGAACTAAGCTGCTAGTATTAATTGCTAAGCATCGTGCCTCTCTTTGGAAGAACCATCAAATTCACTCGTTTGTCAGCAAACCAATTATTTTTACCCAGACCTTTAAAAAAAGTTACAGAGAATTCTTCCGTCAATAAAGTTTACAAAGAAAAGTGAGCAAATTTTCACATTATATGTGAGAAAAATATGAGGTCAGACACATTTTAGCTGAAAGAAATAAAGAGGCCTGTAGCTTTTCAGCAGCATTCCTTCAGAAAATATAGATAAAGCTAGAAAATAATTTCACTTAAAAGTTTTTGATGCAAAGATGCACATTTCACAAGCCATTTTCGATGAATGTAGACTGTGGTTTATCAAATGTTTATATGTTTGAAGAATGAATGCCTCCATAAACTTACAGTGGTAAAATAATTATGAACTTGGAATAAAAGTTAAAAAAATCTTATTACATCTATTTTTAATTGATCAGGGTCGTATCCTATGCCTGCTATCCATCATTTTGGAAGCATCATGTGGATTCACCAAGTGAAAATCACTGTTATGTGTCCAGTGAATATGGAAAAAATCATACAAATGGGCCCTGTCCCAATGCTTTAGAAGATTCCAATCGGTTATATCGCTGCGGCTCTCACTACAGGGTCTCCTCAAAAGTAAGTTCATGCTGTGCACACATCCTGTCATTTTCATTTTGTCCTTTGGGGCTTGAAAATAATTTGGTAGATGGAAATATTTGCACTTTGCTTGAACGCTTTTAAGGAGAGGTTTTTTTTTTTATTGCACTTGAGATATTATATTCTTTGTAGTTTCTCAGTTTATCTCTTCAAAGTTATGCTGCTGTGGTTCTTTAGAAATTAAAGATAGAAATGAAATTATGCAGTCATAAATGCCATAAATTATTTCTTCTTAATCATATTCTTGATAGTTTTTCTCATTTGGTAAACCAAATATGCTTTAGCAGAAATACAAGTGGTATATTTTATGCCATATACATACAACATAGAATGGTTTGGGTTGGAAGTGATCTTTGAGACCACCTAGTTAAAACCTCCCTGCTATAGGCAGGAGCACCTCCCTGTAGACCAGATTGCTCAGAGCCCTATCCAGCCTGGCCTTGAATGCTTCCAGGGAGGAGGCATTCACAACTTCTCTGGGTAACCTGTTACATATGTTATATATAACCTTTTATACATATGTATACAATATATGCATATGGTAATAAATTGGTATGTTTTTATGTTGGTATGGTATTGAATTTATGTTATTTAACATAATGTATTTTCTTCCCTTGCCTTCTCTGCTGCTGCTCTTCCTTTCTCTCAGGAAACTGATATAATGGAAGAAATCATGGCCAAAGGACCTGTGCAAGGTATGGTAAGTTTGAAATACGCTAATACTGTCATTGAAGTAATTAATGTACAACGATATTGTAGCTAAATATTAGAAATCATGAATTGCTTTCCATGGTGAATAAAAGAGACGTATGTGCAGTAATTCACCCAGGGTATCCAGCACTGATGTAACTTCTGGTGTGCAAAGGCTCAGATCTTCTAGGGAAATAAAGATACTTCAGCAGGATGTGGGGGAATGGAAAAGAGTTGTTTAGCCTGACTGGTTGCAGCTGCAGATGGTGCTGACAGCATCTGGGGATGGGGAAAGGGCATTGTGCTGGATATCCATCTGATCTGGATGGACAACCAATGCAAAACCAGGAGACTTTCTTATTTCAATTGACTTGAGTTATATAATGAATTATCATGGCCTCCATTTCATTACTGAAAAATACAGGATTAGATATAATTCATTTCAGTGTACTGTGATGTTGAAATTACTTCTTAAATTTCTATATGAGCAGCTGCAATTCGAAGCTCAACTTTGACAAAATCAGTACTGCTAGTCTTCTTCTGCCCAACTTTGTTTGCTCAAGGGAAACATTCTTTCCCACACTGAATTTTGTCTGGAAGTGAACAGTGTTTCTACTTATTTTGAGATAAGGAAACAGTTCAAATCCCGAAAACAGAATTTCAGACTGCTCTCTAATACTGCCTTCCCCTGCTATATACACGTAGTTCGCTATTTTAATCTATCTGTACTAAATCTTCCACATAAAATTATCTAGATTCAGATGTTTGTTAAGTTTTAATCACACAATGATTCATATCATTTTTGGAATGTCAATGTGTTTTCAGTCTCAAGGTAATATTGTATGTGAAAAATAAAATCTAGATCTTAAAAGAGCATGTATCTGAGAGCTTCTACAACTGAGTGTGATTCCTGTCCATTCTTCCTTCGTGTTATATGAGATCCTTAAATGAGTATCTGTTACTATCTGTTTATTATCTGTAAATCAGTATCTGTTACTGATCTAATAGTTTGTCACTGTTCTTATTCTATCTTCCCATAATACAAATGCAATCAGGATATGATTCTAACTTTAAAACGATATCATGCATTTTTTTTTCAGAACATCCTGAAAGTGATCTTCAGCTACTGAAAATGATTTTCCATTTTCCTTCACTTGTCATTCCTCAAGATCTTACAAAGTACTTATGACCAATCTTATCTAATGTAATGAGTAATATTTAATAGCTGGATAATTTTCAAAAACCTTCCAAGATGATGAAAATCATCTTGTTTAACGATTAATAATTTTGTTTTCTTTGTGCACATTCAATATTATGAAGGATACATATATTCTTAACAATTCTGAAAAAGTGGGTGTAGGAATATAGTTAAAAACTTTCTCCTATACAGCTTTCAAGTTTGAATGACAGCTTCTCTCTGGCAAACATCATTGTTTTATGTGGTGAGCAGAACAATTAGCAGGTTGAAGTGCAGATGATGGAATTCTAGTTTCTTTTAAAATTAACTTTGAAATAAACGTTGTGTAGTTTTACTAATGCTTTGAAAATTTTCCAGTAGACAATCAAATACTGCGCATAATTTTTATTTAATGGATTTTATGACATACTCCTATACAGTGCTGACAAAGGATAAGAATCTCTTCTGTAATGTTAGCTGCTCTCAAAATCAAAGCTAAAAACACATTGGCAATACAAGAAATTTGTAATTTTACTTATCATGATCTTGGAAATAACGGAACATTACATATACTCCCACAGATTTAGAGAAAGCACTAACCTGCATTAATGTACTGTGCTACACTTTTTTTTTCTCTGATAGCTACTACATTTTTGGGTTTTGTATCTTTATATGTCTAAGATACATGGATTCTAATTTAAGAATTGTATTCAGTGGAATCCATAGTAGGATGAATCCATAGTAGAATGAATCTGCTGTGTTTATGCAAGGATCTGACAGCTCAGCATGACTAAGGTAGTTTATGCATAAACTACAGTGAGGCACAAAAATTACTGCCTCTTCCAATTCATTAATCATTAATTCTTTCATTTTGGAAAATGCATGGTTGCTTTGATGTGGGATGGCACACAGCTGGCTGGAAAAGTGAGATCCCTTCCAAGTCACAGTCCATATCAGGACAAGGTCTCTGCAAAAATAAAAATATCTCAGTGCTTGACTTCGAATTATCACCTTTCTATCTACTCTACACTTAATGAACACAGCTCCTGATTAATATGCAGGCTTTTTAAGTAGGTATGAATAAATATATATGCATATATGCAAATATATATACAATTATATACAGATCTACATATACAGAATATATACATATTCCACGTATGTACATGTAATGCACAACCAGCTGAAATTTTCTCATATAGGTTGAAGTTACTTTGCAAATATATTTCAAATGTATTTCATTTCAGTATGATAGATATGATAGTTCTTCAACGAGCCAAGAACATACTTTTGATTTAGAGGTGCTGATACAGAATAAATTGTTCACTGAAATTGAACAAACGGACCTTGATATTACTGATACAGGGATAATCACAGGAATTCTCAGATTTATACACTGGAGAACCTGCGATAGGAAGGGGTAAACCTTTGCAGGGAAATTTTGTTGAGTCCTGACCTTGCAGCTAGAAGACAAGGGTAAAGTTTGTGCTATTTTCCACTTGAACTGTTGCTATCAATAACTGTGAGCTCTCACTCTGCAGACAGCTCTGGCAGAAGCTCTGGCATTATTCATTAAATTTATTTTTCTTATTTAACTGATAAAACTCTTCCCATTTCTTGCCACTTACCATCATGGTTGCTTATTCTCTGTGTGTTTCTATCTGCATAAATTTGGGACATGACAGACATTATTAACAATGCATATTTTCAGCCGGGTTTCCTGGGTAAATGAAACCTATATAAATGACCATGTTTTGAGCTGGTTTTTTTCCTCCCATCTTACTGCCTCCTAAAATTTGAGAATGCTTTCTGTTTCAAGCCAATTTGATAGAGACCAAGAGGTCATAAAGACTATTTCCTTCAAGTTTTTGACAATATTCATGTAGGGGAAATTAATCTGAAAACATGCCAGATGAATAAAAAAATGCATCATGATTTTGCCTTACTCAATGGATAGTGCAGATCTATACAAGGCACATATGTTTTACTACTCCAACCACACTAAAATTGTCATTGAGACATGTACGTTATAGGATTCCTGAGGCACAAGACTTTAAGAAACTGAGTTTCATTAATTCTCACGTTCCAGGCAGTGTGGCAATTTCACATAATCACAGAATTGTAGGGGCTGGAAGGGACCTCAAGAGACCACGGAGTCTAAGCCCCTGCAAAGCAGGCTTCCTATGGGTTTCCTATAGGAATTTCCTATGCTCCAGTTTATGGCCGTTCCCCTGGTCCTGTCCCCACAGACTGCTGAAAAGAAGTTGGCCACGTCCATTTGACTCCCACACTTAAGATACTTATAAACATTAATCAGATGCTCTCTCAGTTTTCTTTTCTCAAGGCTGAACAGACCCAGTACGCTCAACCTTTCTTCACAGGGGAGCTGTTTTAGGCAAATATAAGTGTGCTAAAATCATAAGCTAAATGCAGACTGAAATTAAGCCTGTATTCACATTTCTATTTATGTAATGTAAGCTGGAAAATATTTTCTCTAGAACTTGTAGCCCAGCAAGTAACAAAACAAATGGAACTAACATAGCAGAATGAATTGAAAAAAAACCTCAAAATATTTTCCTTAAAATTGAAGCAAGTGATAATCGTATGAAAAGATGTAAAGTGCAGATAGTAATATTCATTCTCTTGCACTAAATTTACAGTTTGTCAGCTTGTTGGCCTTATATTAACAAACTGTATTTTGATGCACAGTTTTACAATACTTTCATTTGAAAGTCATAATGAACAAAGACATAGAAAATCTATTTTTCCATAAAGAGATTCCAGTCTACCCAATGAACTCTGTTTAAATTAAAAAAAATAAAATAAAATTGCAAGTGTTTGTCACTCTGCCATATTTCATAGGATGTTACATACATGCATATACATTGGCAGTTAAATACTTCTCTGGACTATGCAGATGCTTCTCAGAACTGAGGATTTTATGCATGAACCCTGAAGAGATTTGTCTTATTGGACTGGATTTGTACAGAACTTAGAAAACCTGCATAAGCCCATAGGAGGAGATATTTCTTCTTCTTCTTTTTTTTTTTTAAATTGAAATAGATCTGTCATAGGGAGTTTCCAGGACAGGGAAAGCCAACTAATTTGGCAGGAGACTTTTGAGAGGTGTGTTGGAATATTTCCCTTGGTTTACTCAAAGGAGGCAACTTCTGAGTATTTAGTGAATTTATTGTAATTACAAAGAACACTCATGCAGTATGACACAAAACCTGACAGCTAAAATTAAAGGAGCAATCTAGAGTACAAGCAATATTTGCTGACTGTGCTGATTTTTCCTACCATTTTCTTTTCTTTTTTTTTTTTTTTTTTTAGCTATTATGAAAGTCTATGAGGATTTTTTCCTTTACAAAGAAGGAATCTATAGACACTCCTACAAAGAGGGATCCAAATGGAAAACTCACTCAGTGAAACTCCTTGGGTGAGTATTCTTTTACCCTTTTTTCCACGCTAATCATGAAAGCAAGGAAATATTACTGCTCAGTTTAGAATCTTATGGTTTTGTTGTCAGAGATGTAGCGCTGTTACCTCCCAGTGAAAGATTCTGTTTGTTTCATTTTTGTATATCTGAGAATTTTAGAAGTCGTTGGAATGAGCTGTAGTCCCACAGCCGTTTAATCCACTCTGACATATGTTCTAAGACTTCAAAGATAGAAGTTGTGGCCTGAACTGAAATGAACAAGTCACCAAGCAGAATCCAAGCTGAAATGTAAACGCTGCCGGTGGCCTCCTAACTAGCCAGCACAGTTGTATTTACACAGCAGTCTGAGCTCTCCACACCCCAAACAGAAATCAGCTGCTGCAGGTGTGCTGCTGGTTTTATCTGGGGTGCATAAGAAGAACACACCCAGTCTGAAACTGTTGCAGAAGAATATGAATAATACATCAGTTGATTTCCCCTCAAATGCTGAACAGTGCCAACAGGTGACAAGTATCTAACAATGCACGCACTTGAGTTATAGAATGCATCAGAGTGCTTTTTACTCTAACATGGAGGGAATATGCAAGGTTGCACTTAATAAATCACTGAAGGAATAGTTAAACAGACAAGTGGCTGAAGATAAGTCTCAAACAAATATTTTGTAGGTGATGTAGAATATAAAACAAATAATGATTCAGTCTTGTTGGAGAAAGATTGCTGAGAGTATCTCCGACATGATTCTTCAAGAAGAAAGTGTAGGGAAATAAACTGCCTATTGTATCTGTGATATAGATACCCTTGCAAAGGGTATGGAAATTATAATGGTTGTGGAAACTGCTGACAAGGAATTACAAGAGTGTGTCTGCTAGTGCTAGACAGAAGCAGCAGACTTAAGCAGGATCAGCCTCGAGCCTATAGAGCTGCAAAAAGTCCTGACTCAAAGACCAACAGAGGAAAAGCTCCTGAAGAGAGCATTGCAAAGATATGAAAGAGAGAAACTGGCAGGGACTTTGGAAAACAGGGACTTTAGGAAAATAGGTTTATGAAGGAAATCCTGTATGTTTGGTGTATATATATATGTATTGTATTTAAGGTATATCTGTAAGAGAAATTGATAAACAGGAAAATTGGAACTTCAGGGATGAGCCTCTATGGGGCTGTAAGTGCAGATGTTGGGATTCCTGTGTTTGGCAAAAGTGTATGGTGGTAATAACTATTCCCTCAAATAAAAATATGTTGTCTAACCTAGTGAATCTCATCACAGGGGAAAGTGATTAGACCAGAATTGCACAGGGGAACAACATGATAGCTGAGGAGCAAGGGACAAGGACTATTAATGTGCTGAAGTAGCTGCTGATTTAAATGATAACCATTAGGATGGTCGCAGAAAAAGAAACAGCCAAGGAGCCATTTATAAGCAAAAAATAGGACATCTTAGACCTGCAGTAGCCTCAGAGGATTGTATGGACCAGTCTGTGCAAAACACTGAGTAGGAAGAAAGTGTTTTTATATGCCAAAGGACATGAGAAAAAAGTGAATGAAAAAGAAGAAAAAGAAGGCAAAGAAACATCAGACTGATTAGGAGATTAATATGTGGGAAATACATTTACTTTCTAATTTTTGTTGAAGATTGCTGAACTGATCTAATGGATCCAAAACTGTAATGAATGTCCCTTTTATTTCACCATCTAATGTGTAAGTGTTCTGACTGCTGGGACTATGCCACGTGAAATATTTGCAGATTTGTTTAATTGTAAAATTGGATCAAATTTTGACAAGTTGAAGATTGTTTGAGCCCAAGACCAGGTGTACTTAAACTTATCAGGGAATCAGAGAATCATTTAAGTTGGAAAGGACATTTGAAGGTCATCTGGTCCAACTGAAGAGAGGTCTGGAGCACAAGCCTTATGAGGAGCATCTGAGAGAGCTGGGATTGTTTAGTCTGGATAATAGGAGACTCAGGGAGACTTTATTGCTCTCTACAAATATATGAACAGAGGTTGCAGTGAGGTGGGGGTCAGCCTCTTCTCCCATATAACCAATAAAAGGAGTAGCCAGAATGGCCTCAAGTTGCACCAGTTCAGGATGAACATTAGAAAATACTTTTTCTCCAAGGTTGTGGTCAGATACTGGAATGGGCTGCCCAGGGTGGTGGTGGAATCACTGACCCTGGAGTTGTTCAAGAAACTTTTAGATGTTATACTGTGGGACATGGTTTTGCAAGAAATACTGGTGGTAGGTGGTAGGTAGATGGTTGGACTGGATGTTCTTAGTGGTCTTTTCCAACCTTGGTGATTTTATTATTCTATGATTCTAACTCCCCTGTAATAAACAAGGACTTCTGCAGCTCGATCAGATCACTCAGAGCCCCATCTACCACCTCTCTGGGCACCATTTTACTAGCAATGATGAATCCAGTGATTAAATGTGACTCAGCACTATGAGGTCTAAAACACTGCTTTGTAAAGATTCAAACACTTTCAGAATGAAGCTGTCACTTTTTCATATCATTCATATCAACACTTTGAACTAATTTGAATGTAAAATGCATAGCCCAGACACAAGCTCTCTGCGATCTACAACAGCTTGTTCTGTTCTTGTTTGTTTTGTGTGCATAATGTTTTGTTGTTGGTTTTGAGCAAAAGATAATGCAAAATCTTTTCCATAGGAAAAAAAAAGCTCATGAGAATCTCATGAATGCTGAACTGGAATTAAAAATTGTGATGATTCTTTTCATTTTGCATCACAGAATTTTTGTGAGAGAAAAAGGGGCAGAGACTTGATGCAGTAGGATAAAAATATGCAGTTTTATGCAGGCTGATATTCATTGTGATCTGATTTTTAAATTTATAACTCCTAAAAATGAGTTAATGTTTGTAAAAGGCAGTTATAGTAATGGATGACCACAATGAACTGATATATGAAATCTCTCAAAAACACTTTTGAAAGGGCCATAAGCTCCTCATGCTTGCAAGTATGTATAAGGCTACAGAGTGCTATAAAATAGATATAAATTTTAGCGAAACCATTTTTAACACAAACAGGCTCATATAAATGTCTAACTGAATACACTGACTGAATTCTGTCACTATGAAAGTTGAAACTGCTAACTATTTTCTAACATTTTGAGGTTTCTACTTCATAAAATCAGCTCTAAGTCTAAAAAAAATCTATCTCCAGTATGTAGTGTATGACCTCAGGCTCAAGGAGAGCATGGGAAAAAAACTGTGAGGAAACAAGAAAGAAAAATATGGAGCAGCCAGGCAGAGGGTGTTGCAGGTTGCAGATGGTTTGAGTGTAAAGATGGTCTCTGTGGACAGTGAAATAAGTTTCCAATGGACTGAAGTCAAGACTGACATGCTGACAGACAAAGTATGATGTCTCAAGTTTCTGTGTCTTGTCTGCAGTCAGTGAGGTAAGTAGAAAAAATGAGTAACAGAGACTGGAATTCATAACGTTTAAGTTTTGATGAGTAGAATTTAGAAGTTACATCTCTGCTAGGCAGTCATGGTTTCCTTTATTATCCATGGCTGTTGTGCTGCTCTTTCTGTCTGTCCTTAAGTGCGTTTAATTGCTGTTTTATTTTTTTTAACTTCTGTTTGTTACTTGTAAAGGAACCCCTGGGGATAATGTCAGACTTGCAGAGCTAACATTAAAATGTCTAAGGTAGACTAGATGAATCCCACTATAAAAACGTCATAAAGTAACGCCAGCTTGTGCAACAAACTCACTGACCAATGGTCCATAATGTTTATGGTAAGATAATATCCTCAAAATGTCATATGCATGTTCGTGTCTATGTACACACACAGGTATATGGATTTATGTGCATATATGCATTAAATTTCAACTCAAAATCACACCAGAATGAAAACTACCTGAAAAGGCACAACAGAACTACAAAGAGCTAATGAAGACAAACTGTTCAGAGTTTGGCAATTTTCACATTTTTTTCTGCACTCACATTTTAAATAGAATAATGATTGAAATTACTAGGATCAGTGACTAAAGATATATGGAACTGAACACTTACCTCAAGATATCTTAATAAAAACAGACTTAATTCACATAAAAATGAATTTGGTAGCAGATTTGCCTCCCAGATCTATACTTTTGAGTTAGAGTTGAGTTGCCAAAGTCCAGTCTATAGCATATTCTTTATAAAACTGGTGCACTTCTTACTCCTTATTCTTATTCTTATTCTTATTCTTATTCTTATTCTTATTCTTATTCTTTTACATCTTTGGCTTTCTAAATCTCACTGAGAAAAAGAAGAGAAATGGGGTGTTTATAGAAAAAGAAAACAGTGAAGCAGATTTGGATATGGTGTAAGGATGGCAAAATCTATTAACTTTGGAGGAAGAATGTTGGCTTAAGCAGCTCTGCCTCAGTCAAATATATCTTTCTTCAAAGTCAGGTATAACCAAGTAAAAATCCATCACTAATGTTTCCAACCTGTTCAGACAGATTCTCTCTCATCCTTATTCATCTTTATCAGTTCAACATTCGTGATAGGCTACAATATCTGATGTGTATTTCCATTCAAAGAATTGTATCTGCTTCTCAGTTGAGAATGAAAAATTCAGAAGGGTTTCAAAAAGCCCAAGTCTTTGCCTGCAATCAGATATACTTACTGCCACCTTAAAGCTTGTATGGAACAAGTATAGTTTTATTAAAAGCCTTAGGTACTGATTCATGACCAGTATAGGTTTTCAGATATTTAGAAGATGCTTAGAATGGAAAAGAACTTTATTAAGAGGATACTGAGAGATGTCCTTTCTATTTTTATCCACTGGAAGATTTAAATTCAATATTGCAGGAGAATAAATGAAATTGAAACATCAACGCCCTGAAAAAGCATGAGTTGAATTCATTGTTTTTTAGCACAGTCACTCTAAAATTGACACGTGAAGCAAAAACTTGTGTTTTAGTGTTGAGGAGACATTCAGGCAGTGCAACAGCACTTTAATATGCATTTAAATGACTCACAGTGCAAAGTC